GCGCAATTCACGAGTTAAAAATGAGAGTCAGCGTTTGCAGCTTTTTACAAACCAGCTGAATAAAATATTTGCACAGACTTAAACAACTTGTAGTGAGCAAATGAATTTTGCGATTGCAAGATAGATGTGAACAGAGTCATTCACCGTGAAATCCGATTCACCTTTTTGAGACAAGATTATAGGTGTTTACGCACGACACAATCGATCTCAAAGTTACATCCACCCTATGGGATTTTCGTAAGCCTGTAGAGTCTAGGCAGCTGTCGAGGTTTGATCCAGACGTAAACGGCCTCTTATTGTTTCCACTAACTTTAGTACTCAACTTCCAACAAAAGGTCTGTCGGATCTTTAAGAACTATCTCGGACCCATCTCGTCCGTGAGAGACGTCTTGACATTATAGATGTTGGTATCTATGGCTGCGCTGACACGCCCTTTGTCTGTTAGGAGAACCTTGATTGGTTGATCGTCTTTCAGGCGTCGAAACGCTTCCGATTTTCCTTCGTGAGGTTAGACGCTAATACAATTGCAAACGAGTATATTCTATCATACACGACGGATCTGTGTATACATTTTTTCGATATTTCACGCGGCCCAAAGGTTTTTTTTACGATATGACGTTTCTTTTCTTCCAAAAAAAGCATTATACGCTTTTTCGCCTCTACCCGTTCAACCTATACTGATATCGTCTACGACCTAACCAATAGAAGCACAAAAAAACAAACGTAACAGTTCTTCCTAACCCAGCTCACTTAATGCGTCCAGAGACAAGCTTTTTTTCTAAGTTTATTGCATTGGAAAATCCCGCTAATTCTCGGATGTTATGTACAGTACTAAGAATACTGACTTAAATTCTAATCGGGATTACTTGGAACGCTGATAATAGAACACGCAAGATGTGTGCCTTAAATACTTCGTTATAGGTATGTCAGGAATAACTCTGGTATGAGAATTTCGAAAGTGATTCATGTCTCTCTTTCAACTACTCCCTTTAACCCCATATTTTATTAACACTGCTACGGGGAGGGAGAAATGGACGCATGCCCTTACAGGTGTTTTCTACAAAAAGTGTATTTGTGTCTGCACGGCAAGTCTCCTAGCAGGTGTGCTGCCCAAAACGATACCTGGAAGAAAAGCTAATTCAAGATTTTGGGAAAAACTTGATTCTGGAGAATCATACTTTTTAGTTCAATATTCAGACTAAATTTTTCTCGATTGTTTTCTATTTTGGAAAATAACTATTGCAATTAGGACTTATACTAGAACTGAGGTAAATGAATTTAAAACTCTGCTTACATAAGAATAATCAGCATCCTTGATTACACTTTAGGGTAAAATGCTAACTAAAAGATCAATTGAAGGACAATTTTGTGTCAAAGAGTTTCAAATAAACTGCGAAAAAATCACTGTTCTTGAAACTTGTTTCTTTTGTTTTGTGCTTTTCATAAGTTTACACCGCAATCGGAAAATTCATATTTACACCCTGTTATTGAAAAATCCATACGTTACTGGAGGATCAGAACAAGATTGTGAAGGGGAAGAAAAACAAAATGCAAGAGCAATACGATGATAAAGACTAATCAGAAAATTAGCAAAATATGAATGGTCAGGAATAGAAGCGGCTCCTAAATATAAAGTTCCTTCCTGCCTGTTTCCTTTTCAAGTGATCGAATCTGTTAACGCCAGTAAAATATTTTTTCGGTTGTGTGATTGTTTATGATAGTCATCGTAGAAGGAAAGAAGAAGATTTCTCACACGTCCTCAGAGTTTCTTGTTACTTCCACACTCAGTTTTGTGTTTCTTCCAATCCTTTTTCTGGCATGTTTTACCACAATAGCACACTTCTTTACATCCAAGGCACCTTTTTAAAGTACCACTCCTGGAATGGCAAAAGGCGCACTCTAAACCCTGCAATGGTTCGGAGAGGCCCCCAGAATGCCCTGAAAAGACAGATCTACCTACTGACGATGTGGCATCCAGATAGCACGGTTCTGCAGAACTAACAGCATTGAGCGGAGAACTTTCCGTTCCATGTCTTTCTTTGTCAAAAGCTTCTATAACAGCACCAAAAAGTAAAAAATTAATCAAGAGATGGGTGTGTTATGGAGTTACGAAATTACGTATTAGCTCTACGAATCAATTCAGGGGTGAGTGCGCTCATAGCTTTCCTTCGGCCACCCTGAAAAGTAAAGAGTTGTACCAGAGAAACTAAATACAGGGTGGGACTAATTTTCACCTCAACCACCTCAAGCCATGAAGTATCATTCAATCAATAACTAAATCTCACGAAAGAATAGCCGTGGTATATTAGTTACCCATGATGTCTGGTGAAATTGTACCGAAATCTCGATTTCTTTACAAAAAAGTTGTGGTGAGAACGTACATGATCTTGGCTATCTTGTTCCTTATTGGGACAAATGAGCCAGCAATACATCAAATATTTTTGTTCGCACGTGATTGGTCTAATAGCACCATGTACCAAATATGCCCCAGCTAAAACTGGAGAATATCCGGTGATATACCTCAAGCTATATTCCCCTATGGCAAGTCTCCCTCTATATTTAGAATGTCATGCAAGACGAGAGAGCGTTTAGTGTTTGCTGTAAGAGACAGGCCACGTTTTTTGTTCAAAAAGTCGTACCAAAGAAAACTGAAAAGGGGACAACCCACGCAAAAAACGGTAGGCAGTTCGTTTAGATTTTTTCCCGCACGTTGCAAAAATATTTGAAGGATAATGTTCTGTTCCTCGCAGGATAATGTTTTGATAAGGTTCTATCCCTCGAAGATCACGGAATACCGCGAACTTTGCTTTCAGCATCGCATCTCAGAACAAATAATGTATTTGAACAAATACCCTTGCATTTTTTCGCACCACATGAAGGCTATTGATTATTGAACGTATTGCAAGTAACTTACTGGAGAGATCTTTGGAGCTTTCGCGTGGGAACAAAAGGGATATATACGAATTAGTCCATACACCAGAATCACCATCTTGAGGAACTCGGGCTGCATTTGTGTATAACATTTTACGGAATAAAACCTTCTCCTGTTGAAAAATAATTTTGATTTTAGCCATGTAAGCTGCCACTCCCAGTTTCAACTGAACAAAAAGATCGTATCCAGGAGTAATCGCCCAGATGTTTCAGCTTAATTTCAATTATCATTATATTATTTATCGTTACCAACATCGTCATTGTAATAATCATCATGATCTTTATCATTAGCATTCCTCATCATTTTCAGTATCACTGATTATCATTATCATTATCATTATCATTATTATTATCATTACCATAAGCATTCTTATTACTTTCAACTCCAGCATTTTCTTTATCATCATAATTACTATTACTATCACCGCTCTCGTTTCAATTGCCTTCGCCATTTTTTTTTATGTCATCATTCATTATTGCAATGTTATAAAACTGTTTTTAAGAATACCCACTAGTTATGATTCAACACAACCATAAACACACATCTAATGAATATGTGGCCAACATTTAAGCATATAAAATCTATAAAAACAATAGACCGCACTTTCTATCGGTTTACCGATGTAATGACCCACGAGAGATGTTTGAAAAACACGAGAAAAGTTTGTAAATCACGAGTGGAGGTGAGTGATTTACAAACTTTTCGAGTACTGCTGTTGGGAAATGTTGTCTATTGCTTAATTGTCTCACGTATTTGCAGAAACAAACTAAGAAGAGCGAATAACAAAAATGACAAAAGTGACCCAACCCCAAGATGGAATGAAGAAATACACAACATATTTGTAATAGTGAAGATATGTTGGCCAAACAAAGATCATAATTATTTGCTTGTTTCTCGCTAAATATGTCAATACATCAAATTCAAATATATCTAGGCGTTGTCTTTAATCCTCTTGATGATTTGATGTATTCGAGTAAAGTAAAAAGAAAATATCGACTGGAGTCTAACCAAACAAATATTTCAGAAAGACTAATTTCTTTCGAATTTTTTTATTAGATGCTACTAATGCAAGCGAGTAAAATCAGAGGCTCCTTGGAGCTACCTCACAGTATGTCTTAGGACCAAATTATTCCATAACGTGGTGAGAACTTTATATATTAGGCACTTAATAACTTTTGTAGCATAATTCAACAGCGCGTTAAAATTCTGATTAATAAGACTTACGCCCAGGAGCGAAATAGCTCTCTCAAAAAGTGAGTTGTGTGTTCAAAAGAAAGCCGGTTAAATCCAATGAAATTTGCAAGACCTCAAAAAGATGGTACATCAGCTACCAAATATGCGTAAAGCATAGCCGAAACGAATACGCGAAATCAAATTGGAGAATTCATAAAATCAAATGAAATCTTGAAAACCTCAGAACTTATTAAACAAGCTGCTAAATATGTTTAACATGTAGCCATGCATATGGCAGCAAAATAGATTCACGAAAGACAAAAATTAAAATCGCTCACTCGGTGCGACAAAATATTTCCATAACTATCGTCGAGTTTAGGACTTTAAATAAAGTTCGTTTCTTTCCAGTTGAGTATGTACTTTTCATCTTCGTTTTTGAGGTTCACAAAGGTGTATTTTGATCAAGAATGGAGAAAAAAAAAAAGGAAAAACTAGTTTAATCAGTTGATTTTAGCGCACGGTCTGACAAAATATATCCGTGTTTATGGTTGCGACTGTTTTCGTCGTCGATTTTAAGACTTTGAAGCCCTTTTCTTTCCAACAGAGTATTCTTACGCACATTTCCTCTTCGTTTGCAAGGCCCACAAGGGTGTATTTTGATAAAGGATGGAGCAAAAGGAATGGAAGAATAGCCCATTCATTTTAGCCTACGGCCCGACGACAGCCGCCATTTTATGTTGATAACTTCATACACACGTGCAAAAATTGAAGCCTCCACCCGCCCCAGATATACGAATAGAAGAAGGTAGCGCGACTATGAGCACAGAACAAAATCTAGTATGCGAGGCAGGGGACAACGCCTTTAATCCAAGTTTTAAAGCATAAATTAATTGTCTAGCAGATTGAAGAATGGAGTGTATGAGTGAGTGAGTAAGAAGGTAATCTTTCCATAGCGATACCTTAAAGCATGACTGATTTCATGCCATGAGTGTAAAACGGAAAATCGAATTAGACCAAGAAAGCTCAGCCTGAAACACTTCAAGCGTCCGACCTGTTACTCTATCAGTCAATCTTTTGACATCAAATAATATATTCTTTTAGAGTTTCGAGGATGCGTTAAAAACTAACTCAACACTATCAGGAATTGCATGGAATGAGTAGAGTAGTGATGCCAAGAACATCGCTTAACGTCAAACCTATACAAAGTCAGTTTAACCTGGATACTCCTTTTCTTTCCCTCAATATCGAGAGAACGTTTTCAGACTTTTCAACAACGATCCAATAAATCCTAGAACTTGTAGTCAATGAGGGATGGCTTGATGATCACGTGGAGTGAAGGAGATACTGTCAGATAATAGCCATCATCTAATCTCATTAATACATAAAATCCTATCTTACCTCCTGCTGAGCTGGAAGTCTGTTTACCCTATGAAGATAAATTCTGTTGCAGTAATCTGCAAAAAGGCTGGTGTCTCCCGGATTCTTGCGAATTAAATCTGCAAACCGCTGACAGTCACAGAATTTAACCTTAGCCACTGGCAAATTTTTCCACTTGAACATTTTTTCCACTTTGATGACGAAGCCCTTCTTCTTTACCATGTCCGCTGGTTCATATGGTTCTTCGATGATTCCTCGTTCGTCAACATAATGTACGCCTAACATCTTTGACATTCAACAAAAAAGTATAGCCGATGTGTTCAAAATTACCTTACATATTATTAGGATAACCTCTCCTCAGTAGGATGACCATAGCTAACAAGGAGGAGTTGTTCAATTAATCAAAGCGAAGATAGTTGTCCCATTTCGACCTATTTGTCGTGTTGTAACTTTTCGTGAGCTGTAACCTTTTTAGGTGGCAAATATCTCATTCCTAACTCCAAGCTCGAAAATCCCTGGTAACCTGCTTAAAAGCTATTTAAAGTTTCCAAGCTCTCGCCATCCACGGCCTCATAAGGATCGCAGTGGACCTGTAAAAGCTTGGAGACCTTCGCGTCACTCAAACAAGAATGTAAGATATCCAACAGGTCACAGAAGGAAAACGCGAAACACTTATTACTCTAATTTTTATGTATGTCTTTAAGATAAATTAAAAAAATGTTTTTTCAACTAAACCTACCTCGGGTTCCTTCAAGTGCTTATATATAATGTCTGCAATAGATTCTCTGAGGTCAAAAAATGGCGGACCACCTTTCCTTTGTAACTTTAGTTCCATATCACTCTTGGTGTGAAACATTCTAACGAGCATTTTAGAACAGCTAAAACAACAAGAAATGAATAAATTAAAACAATATTGTGACAAAGAATCACGAAGAGCTTTGGAGGGAATTAAGTGGTGGACAAGGATTACAGTTAATATCCAGATACCTTTTCCGGCTTAATTTTTTGCTTTGCGCATTTAACATTTAAGTAACTCGTAATGCATCGTAATGGAAAGTTTAGCCGGGCGAAATGTTTGATCAGCTTAACTACTATGCGCGCGTTGAATGTGAGATGATATTAGCCAGCGAGGCCGAGTTGGTCATAATCATCTCATATTCGACAGACACGAGTGGAATAATTGCTTTATTAAAAACGCCCCAAAATATAGACAGATCGTACAAATCTTATTTTGTAAGGACAAAAGGAATGTTGCAATATACAAAAACTTTTTCGGTTTAACTCGTCTTCCTGCGCACGCATGGTGTAATGACCAAGAACCCATGGTAGCTAAGCCAATGAAAATTCTTGAAATGCATTATCCAATAATCCAGTTTTTAATAATTGCATAAATCCAACTCGTTGATTTGATCCCCTAAATCTTGTTCAGGATTACAAGAAGCATGCGAACTCCTTAGTTATTCTTTACTTGTGTTCTCTTATGAAAAATCATTCGCTGATCCCATTTCGTACATACCTTTCATCAGTGAGTTTACCATCCCATTCTCGCATGGCATGGAAAGGCAGTGGAGCTGGGTTTTGTATTACACGTTCTCCCACTGTTCCTTCACTTAGTTTGGAAATATTGCAAAATAATTTACCGACTTTGCGTGAAAGTTGGAACTTGGATGAGCTAATATCGACATAGCATGAAAAATGCATCCGTTGTGGGTCACTGTAAGGATGTCAAAACAAGCAATAATTAGTTTTGAGCATTAAGAGATCATTATATACGTCCATGAAGTTTGGAAAGGAATTTTCAGATTCCAAATGTCTCTAGTTATTGACAACTGCATACAAATTGTGATTTTTTTGTGGCAAATCAGCAGACATTTTGGAGTCATTTTCTTCCAAAGAAAAGCTAATGATTTAGAAATCTAAAATCAATGGTTTAGAGTCATCAGTATCTCTTTGTTAATTTATCTAAAGCTTAGCTGCTCTAGCAAAGATTTTCCGAAGCTCTTGAACCCTTCAAAGTTTTATTCATAACGTAGTAGTGCTTAAATGATCACTGCTGAAGCTTTGCACTTCCCAAAAATGCTACCCACCCTTTGGCCCTGTCGAATTTTATTTGGACTCCCGCTGGAGACAAATCTGGCTGGCTGATCTTCATCGTCTTCGCTTTGCAGATGGCGGAGTCTAGAATCTCAAGTTCTGCAGAATAAGAATGTATGTTCTCCTCCACTTTTAGTACCTATGAAAAACGAAAACAAACATTGAAAATGGAGACTAAACACTACAACCACTACATGAAACGCACATAGTCACAGGGTCCTACGTCTTTGCAATGTCCTCAGCCAGTTTTCATTGTACGTGGTCAAGATTAGGGACTGGTTTAAAGCGTCATTTTATCAATTGTGTGCTTATCCACTGTACTTTTACTTTGCCACGATGACGAAATTAGGTCAAAGGCGCCATTTTGCAGTCCTACGTTCAGTTCTGGTGCCCCAAATCCTTCCATGTTCATAAGAGAACAGGCTTTTGGAATTTTTTAAGGAATTTAATTAGTTCGCCACGGGAATGGCAGGAAAAAGGAACAGAACCATCCCACCCTCC